TCTCCCTCTGGTGGGAGTGGCACTGCAGGAGGGGATAGGACCCACCCAGGTTTGGGCCCGGGACAGGAGCGTGAGCTGGGAGCCCTGTGGTTGGGGAATTGTGGGAGTGGGGACATCTGACTTCCTGGGTTTGGGTTCCTTGAGAGCTTCATTTGCTTCCTCACACCCTCTCCCCTTCACACCAGGGCTGTTTTATTGTTTTATAACCTTCTTTAAAGCTTCAGTTGCCAAAGATTCCAGTGGGGCTATTCTCCACTTTCTCACTTTACCAAACCCCAAGTCTTGCTGTTTTAAGCAGTTTGGTCACTTGCAAAGGCTTTCCTTTTAGATCTAAGCAAATTATAGAAACCTCTAAGCATGTAGCTACCTTCGACTTTGCTGAGCCCATCCACAACAATACAGAGCCAAGTGTTAGCTCCAACTGCCACCCCACCCCCAAGCCCACCCAGCCTCTCCCTAACCACCTTTTTTTCTATTGAAGCTTGAACAAAATCTCAAATAACTTCTGGTATAAGCAGTAAAAAGTGGCCTTTGGCTTTCCTCTTTGTTTATTTACCACATCTAGAGCTAGAAAATGATTGAAATAAAGGAGTTGATGGTACTCACAGTGAATGCAGCCAAAGAATCATAAGACATGCCCAAACCAGCCTTTTCCAAATAGCACTATCTCCCAACTTAAACAGATGTCTCTGAAAAGATGCTATTTGAAAAGCCCGGGGTATTGATATGAATATGACCACCCCCACACCCCCCTGCATCTTGGATATTTGGAACTATTTAAATGTGAGGGAACAGTTGCAGTGAACCTTTATTTAGTGAATAAAAGTTTAAAGCCAAAGGTTATTTATGGTTCTGTAGAGATGGGACCTGAGTGGCTATTTACAAGCACGTGATTCCAATAAACTTTGTTTTATGGCTTGAGAGTTGACAAGCCAAAATATAATTCCCACCATAAATTAGGTTAAGAGCATACAAGTGCAGATGCTTGGTTCCTGGAGCAGCGATAGGAAAGTGAGAGCTCCAGCTAGCACCCGGCTCAGGAGGCAGTTCTACTCCCAGCTCCCCTGCCCACTAGGAAGGAAAACCAGTAAGTCACTTATTTTTCTAGGACAGCTCCAGGGGTGGGGGATTTATCTGCCTCTCTTTTCCACCTGTGGTGGGGAGAAGTCCCATCGAAGTTAATTCTAATTTTAGCCTAAACCTAAATGAACAAATAGAGGGGGAATCCAGGTTTTCTCCCCTCCCTCTGGACACAGAAAGTTAGGAGTTGAGGGCTCCCACCTAGCAAGAGGGAATTACTGTGTCTCTCCTCCCATATGTAGCATCTGTTTCAGAAGTGGAATAAGACAGTGGTAGTCTAGGTGGAGAGAGAGAGAGAGAAAGGATAAAGATGGAGATGGCCTTGCCTCTGAGATTTTTTTCAGAGAAGGATGCCATCCTAGAATAAAACTAGAAGAGACTGAAAACTTAAAGCTGAACACCAGCCCCTGTGAGGACCTCTGCTTTGTAAGATTGCTTTGTGGGTTCTCCAGCAGCAATGCTGACAAAATGATTTCATATCCATAAAGCTGGATAACAATCTCAAGCATTGCCATTTACCTTTAAATCCATCGATTTTCCTCCTCCTAGGTTATCATTTGGGTCCTCATTTCCCTTGGAAATTGCTCTTTGTTTTCAATTGGAGCAGAAGTGGGAAGGCAAGTCCCAGCCAAGTCTGGTCCTTCTTTGGGAAGGAGAAGACAGGTTTGGGGGGCATTAGTTGGGGGTTGGGGAATTTGAAACTAATCTGAAACTGGGAAAGGGGGCTAAATTGCTCCCAACGCGAGACAACGGGAAGCTGGGGCTGGGGACAGATGCAGCGGCTGCTCCCTACCCAGTGGACCCGAGCCCACCCAGCCGATTCTGCACAAGGAAACACACAAAAGGCCCATTTACTACTCGTTTCCCGTTTTCCCACTGGGGAAACTGTTACAAGCAGACTGAGTAGGGCCAAGAAACCAGTAAGGTTTTGTCCAAGGGTGCGTGGAATGGGGGAGGTGATGGGGGCCATACTCTCCTACTCTGTGGATCTGCCCTTGAAGACTGCGGTCTCCCCGCTCCGCGGAAAACTTGGCGCAGTTCCTGGGGGCGGGCACCCGAAGCAGGGAGATCTGGGTATTGGTGGGGTGTCTGGGCCTTGTCATTTTTCTGTGTATCATCTATCTCTGCTTTATTATCCTGTGCAATTTAAGTGACCCCCATTTTCATTGCAACAGGTTCAGGACCACGAAAGACCGCCGCTGTAAGTACCTTCCCGTTTCTTCCGAATCGCGAGGAGGCGGTATTGATAGCTGGGGAGGTGGTGGGCAAGAGCCGCGCCAGGGGAGTAGGCGGGTGGAAGAACGGCCCTGCCTCCCCTGGCCTGGCGCTTGGAGGAGAGCTCGCTTTGGAGGTGGAGGCTCTAAGTTGAGTTCCTGGAAAGATTTTGGGGGCCTGGTTCACAGTCACCTAACTAAGGAAATGTGCCGCGGGCTCTCGCCCTTGTCTTCTTGGGCCTCCCAGGACCTTCTGGGCCTCCCCAGGTCTGTCCAGCTCGCACAGGTGCAGCGCTGCCACGGAGTACGCTTCTGTTAAGAGCTTGCAGCTAATTAGCAGCCCGCCCTATTAAGTTGCGGCGAGTATCGCCTTCTGCTAGAACCAACCTGCGAGACACCAAGACAACGCGATCTCCCTCTGCAAGCCAGCCCAGCTTAACCCGGTCCTGCCTGGCCCAACCTTCTCTTGATTTTTATACAAATAAGAAAGAAAGAGAGACGGAAAAAAAATAAAAAAACAAAACTTAACCCTGTACGGTGGGTGTGTTGAGTGGACCCGCTTCTGGCAAGGACTGTGAATTCTGAGCTTTAGGTAGAAGTCCCTCCTCGCCCCTCCCCCGGCCCCAGCCTCAGCGGTTTGGGCTCTGGGTTGGGGACATGGGCTGAGCGAGGAGAGAGGAATACGGCCCTTGTTGGTCACTTCTGCTTTACTGTAACTGCAGTTCGAGAATTTCCGAGCCAGAGCCGCTGGTGTTGCAGGCAAATATTGGGGGATGGGGAGAGGTGAGGTGGAGGCATACATTCTTGGGGTCCTGGGCTCGGAAGTTGGATTTTTCTGCGTTGCACGTGCCGCGGAAGACAGGTACATTTCTGAGGAGGCCCGTGACGTCTCCTGGAAGATTGTCTCATTAAGATGATGGTAGTGGCAGGAGAATCATGGAAAAAAACAGTGGCCCCTCCCTCACTGCAAAACGGAGATAGTTTTATTTTGATGGGAGATGGAATTTGCGAGAGTGGTAGGACTCAGGCACCCTCCCTCTCTGGTGAAACACCTTCTCTTCAGGGTGAGAGATGTTGGGACGTGGCTCTGGGTCAGATTTCTTTGCCCTCCAGGTTGGTCAGCCTTGTAGACAACCTGGGTGCTGCGCTGGCCCCCATAAGTGGAGATTTCACCAATACACAGTTCCCCTCTACAAATCATGCTAGCTCAAGTGACACAGGTTCTGGGCTCCAGGCTGGAAAATCTGGTGTCCTCAGGACCCCCTTGCCTTGCCCCTTTCCTGCCGCCACCCTAGCTCTTGGGTGCTTAACTCTGCTGAGGCTCCTTGCTTGAAAACCCACATTCGCACCCTGTAGCTGAACACAGCTCAAAATCCTGAGAAATCAAAAGCATTTGTATGAGCAGTTGTGCGGGAGGTGAATATTTAACGCTTTTGTTCATCAATAACTCGTTGGCTTTGACCTGTCTGAACAAGTCGAGCAATAAGGTGAAATGCAGGTCACAGCGTCTAACAAATATGAAAATGTGTACCCTCACCGGGTCCCCACCTGGCCCAGCAGGCTCCCCCAATTTGTCTGGATAAAGCCTAGGCCCAGTGTCTCCAGGAAGACGGTAGGGTTGGGAGCACTTGGCATTAGGGGAAGTTGGGGGGAACCTCCCCGGGACAAGGGAATTGGGCATGGGGCAACCTCAGAGCTCTTGTTAGAATTGGCACCTAGGAAGACCCTACAAAGTTGCCAAAGCACTGGAACCAAAAGATTGGGATGTAGGGTGGAGTGTGCAAAGTGCAGAGTAGAAGCAGGCAGACAATTTTGCCAGGCTGCGGGGACGGAGGGGAGTCTTCCTGCTCTACCCTATCAGGCCCAGGCTGAGGCTTGAAACTAATTTTTGAATGATGAGAGGAAAATAAAAACAATTTTAAAAATTGTCAACACCTCTGGCCTATGATCAGAGGTCCAAGAACCCCACTCCAGCCTGGATATCCCTCTGCCCCTGAAATCCATCAGGGCCCTGAGTGCCTCTGTGCTCTTGGTGCCCTGAACCGAGGGGTGAGCCCCAGACAGCGCTGAGGCGCTGGGGCGGGTGCAATTCGTGAACTTTTGTACTCTTGTGTGCTGCTGTCGGCAAAGCAAAAATAATGAAACTTTGTGATATGTTTGTAAATGATTTCGACTGACCCCTCGCCCTGCCCTTCACCATTAGTGTGCCGGCCCCAGCCCAGGGCGGCTCGGTGCCTGCAAGCAGCGCCTGCCTCGGGGGTCTGCAGCAGCAGCCGGATGGAGAGGCCAGCCGGGCTCAGGGCCCAGGAAGGTAAATGCGCGACTTCTTGGAGGACTAGCTTTGTCAGCCAACCTGGCTTGCCCTGCAGTGGATGGAGAATATTCCCCTGTTGCCTCTTTCTTCTGCTACTGAGGGCATTTGCTCCTTTCTGGAAAATACCACATGATAAGGGGGGGCGAGGTATTTGGATCCAGAGAGGGGGTAATAAAACCGCCATTTCTGGGATGGATTATTTTTTTTCTTCTTTCTTTCTTAAGAGACTGTTTTGGCTCCTTGGCTGCTGGGTAACACCCGTCCTGGTACAAGGATGGGGAACTCGTTGCTGCAAATTGCCACCCAGCCCTTCAGGCTACCTGAACCATCTCTGAAAATGCGGGTGGTTCCGAGGCCAGGGCTGCCAGCCGTCTGGGTACCCGATTTGGGTGGAACCCGGAGGTAGTAACGTTGTCTATATATACCCTGTAGAACCGAATTTGTGTGGTATCCACATAGTCACAGATTCGATTCTAGGGGAATATATGGTCGATGCAAAAACTTCACATTTCTCCGAAATAGCCTGAATCGGAAGGAAAGTCCAGAAGCATCCTGGGCGCGTCAGTTGCCTCTTTTTGTTTTATTACCTTGGACTCCAGCAAGATCGACTGAGCCTGGTGTCACAGAGCACCGTTTTCCTAGAGACTCTCCTCAACCTTTAAACAGAGGCTCTTGTGTAAACCCCTAGTTGGTTGCACGAATCCAGGGTGAAAGGGCTAAGTTTTGGGGGGCTGGGGCGTGAAGTGGGCGGCCAGGTAACCCCAGCTCTGCCCTGGAGGAGTATGAAGTCAGATGGTGCCAGTGAGGGGGCTGCCGCGTGGGAAGGAGGCACGATGGGAAGGCGTGCAGGGTCCTTTGGGGCTCATTTGGGTGAGGTACGGACACCCTCACCACCTTTCTGGCCCACCCCTCAGCTGTACCGTCCGAGGCAACGGGCCTCTTGTTATACTGTCAAGTCCCGGCTTTGGCTAGAAGCACCCTGGCTTGGGCACTCGCAGAATGCTTGGCGGTTACTCATTGCCTCAATTGATTCTGGCCAGCCAGATTGTGGTAACTTTTGGGTGACCCTGACGAAGACAAAGCCGGGACTCGGCCTTTGTATGGCAGAGTCCCCGTTCCTGTGTCTGGGCTAGAGCCTGGCCTGCCTGGGGGTACTCTGCCCAACTCAGAAGCTGCCTTGTCTACTACCTACCTGCCTTTTGGTGTTCTACACCCAAACAGATATGGGCATTCATCCCCCCTTGAACTGTACCCATTTTGGGGGGCTGCTTTCAAGTGGGGTGAGAGGGCACTTGAGGTTAGAAAGTCAGTGGAAGACAAAAGCTGGGATTACCTTTGAGGAATGAGGGTGCTGGGGGCTAGAACTATATTAACATATGATGGGGGCCCTCAAACGTGCCACAGCGAGTCACTTGATTACACGTATGTTATTTAGTTAAATTTGTAAAAATTATGAGATGCTCACCAACCCGGTGATAAACTCGCTCCCTCGCTATTGGCTGGCCTGGTCACATGGCCGCCAACTTTATTCAGTTGACAGCAAGTAGGAGGGCCCTATGGAAGGAGAAAAAAAGACAACACGAGAAAAATTAGTATTTTCTACCTTCTGAAATTAATGGCCATGAGTTCGTATATGGTGAACTCCAAGTATGTGGACCCCAAGTTCCCTCCGTGTGAGGAATATTTGCAGGGCGGCTACCTAGGCGAGCAGAGTGCCGACTACTACAGCGGCAGCACGCAGGGTGCCGACTTCCAGCCCCCGGGGCTCTACCCACGGCCAGACTTCGGTGAGCAGACCTTCGGAGGCGGCGGCGGCCCGGGGCCCGGTTCGGCGCTGCCCAATCGGGGTCACGGGCAAGAACCCGGTGGCCACTACGGCGCTCCAGGAGAGCCGTGCCCTGCTCCCCCGGCGCCCCCGCCCGTGCCCCTGCCTGGTGGCGCCCGGGCCTGCAGCCAGCCCGGCGGCCCCAAGCAGCCGCCCCCCGGGACAGCACTCAAGCAGTCGGCTGTGGTCTACCCATGGATGAAGAAGGTGCACGTGAATTCGGGTAAGGCGCGGGGCCCAGCGACCTCCGAGTCCCCACCCCAGCCCAGCGGCCTGGGCCCTGGGAAGGGATGCGAGTGGGTGAGGGCATGTGGGGCTTCAGTGGGAGCCGCAATTACTCTCTCCATAAATTTTTATAGCTGAGGGAGCTGGCCAGGACCATGTGGCTGGCTGCTTGTCTGTGGGCGAAAAGGGGGGTGGAGATGGGGGTGGGGTGGGGGCGAACTCCATTTTCAGAGCGCAAGGAGCACAGAGGAGAAGGGGGTTTCCAAAATACTTGGAAATTCCCGAGTTTGTGGTGGGCCTGGGAGAAGGGAGCACGGTTGGGGATCCCCACTTGTGAGTGTGAGGGAGTGAGTGGGTGTCAGGGTGTGGGTAGGAGTGAGCGTGTGCTCTGGGGAGAAAGGGCGGGAGGGAGGGAGAGCAAGCTTGGAGCTCAGGGAGGGCCTCGGGCCTCGGGGAGCGCCAGGAAGTGAGCGTGGTGGCTAGGGGCCTAACTAGTGGCCGGGCGCTGACCTGACCGCGTGCTGTCTGTTTTGTCTCGCAGTGAACCCCAACTACACTGGCGGGGAGCCCAAGAGGTCCCGGACGGCCTACACCCGGCAGCAAGTCCTAGAACTGGAAAAGGAATTTCATTTTAACAGGTATCTGACGCGGCGCCGTCGGATCGAAATAGCTCACACCCTGTGTCTGTCGGAGCGCCAGATCAAGATCTGGTTTCAGAATCGAAGAATGAAATGGAAAAAAGACCACAAGCTGCCCAACACCAAAGGCAGGTCCTCCTCGTCCTCGTCCTCCTCCTCCTGCTCCTCCTCAGCTGCCCCCAGCCAGCATTTGCAGCCACTGGCCAAGGACCACCACACGGACCTGACGACCTTATAGAAGTGGGGACCCTGGGCCCATCCCTTCCTGCACTCCCGGCTGAGCCGAAGCTGCGGGGGCAGGCCGGGCCCGCTGTCACCTCGCTGGGCTCTAAGGTACTGTGGGGTGGACCTGGGACAAACAGGCCGCCTTCGGACTAGGTTAGCATCTTGCCCGAGGGCAGCCCCCTCCCTGGAGCTGGGATGGGGGTGGGAGGGGGGCGGGATTCTCTCTCTAAGCATATTATCACATGGCAGGAGCTACTGAAACATAAAACCTTGGCGAGTCATTAAACTCATGAAAATCTCTGCTGTTGGATTTTGAATTTGCAAATGAAGGTTGAATGCTTTATCCCAGTGTGAATTTGAACATCCTCCCCCACCACACCCCTCCAGGGATCTTTGTGGTTTAAAAATGTGGGGGAGTTGAAGCAGAAGGTTGGCCACCCCTGTGCTAGGTGCTTTCATGGAAGCAGAAGAGCTGGGCCAGGATTTCTGAACTTTCTGGGTTGTCTATATAATTTCCAGTGTGAAAAAATATATATATTTTTTGCTCCTAGTGGCCCTATGCCCAAAGAAATGAGTCTAAGAAGGAAGTGGAAACGGGTTATTTTATGTTTAGATTATATTTGCTTCAATATTTATTTGTTGGGGAATGGAATACAGACATAATTGACATCTTAATGCCAAAAACCTTAAGATGGTGAAAGGGGCTGAGTTTCAGGGAGCAGAATCAGAGATGTGTAGACTTAACTTCTGGCTCTAACCGGCATTTTGAACTGTACCCCTCCCCACTCCGGGGGAAATATGTGTAGGGGACCCTTAACCCTTCTAGAGGGAAGCAAAGGGTCCACTCAGAGTTGAGTTCTTGAAAATATATTTTCACATGTGCTTTTTTCAGCATTGTGCTTACAACCAGTTCTGGGTAATTAAAGGAAAGGAAAAAAAGAAAGAAACAAATGGTCCAACATTTTCCTTCTGGGGAAAGAAAACAAAACCTCTATGTTCTGGATCATTAGGTAATGACTGAATTTTCTGTTCCAACTGGATTCCAAATGCCCAAATGCCCCACATAGTAGTATTTTATAGGAATTGGTGTATGGCCTATATTGAAAAGGGGATGTGCAGTAGGGAGAAAGTAGCAACATGAGGAAGTCTTGCTTTCAAAAAGAAAGAAAGAAAACTAATTAAACCTAGAAGTCCACTAAAGTTGGTCTTAGGATTTTTTCCCCTGAAGTTTTTATTTTTAAAACAAATCTAAGGACGTTTTTCTCAGCCCATTAATTAGAAGCAGAAATTGTATAAGTATAAAAGTTTTCAGGCCCTCTTTCTTGCCTTGAGAATAGTGGTTTAAAACAATCACTCAAACAACAGGAGAGATGTTCTTTAGTCATTTTTCTTATGCCTTGCTTGGGAAGGGTTCAAAGCTCATTTTTCTAAAATGCTGACCCTTAGGGATAAGGGGGAAAGAGAGAGTCAAAGGTAAGGACCAGAGTTCATATACTCAAATGAAACAAGGCTTAGGAAGTTTAAACCCCAAAGCCTGGGACTCCAAAAAGAAACCCCTGGTTGTAGCTATCCAAAAGTGACAAAAAGGGGGAGGAAGAAAGGGTGAGCTTGAAAGGGAGACTCAGAATTGAGGTTATTTTTTCAGTGCTTCAGAACACTTTGGAAGGTTACAGTGGTGTTTTTAAAAATACATTTAAGTGGAGGGGGGGGGGAACTTTCTCTGCAGGCATGTTCTTTGGTTTGGTGTCTCCTGAGAGCTGAGGGCAGGTATTCACTGGAGTCCCTAGGCTGAAATTCCACTTCTCTAAAGTATCTTCCAAGCCTTGGTCTTTTGTATTAGACCCTGGGGACAGCTCTTTGTTCCTCCTTGGGGTGAGCCTGGCTCTCAGACTTGCACATGGCAATACTTGAATATCGGCACGTCGGGATATTAAAGATGGATATTCCTGCATTATTCGCATCATTGTTTCTATGACAAAAAGCACAGAGTTCATACATAGTCAAGATGTCTTTTTTCTGACGCCCTCACGTTGAGAAGCTGAAAAGGTATTTTACTGAAGTTCGGCTAATTTACAGAATCAGGTTCATCCAGAGGACAAATTTTCTATTCGATTAGCTGTATTTCAGCCGGGAGGACTGACCTCTAAACCCTTAACCTTTTGGACTCTTAACTACCCTTCTCTTCTTTTTTCCCCTCTAACACGGAGAGCAGTCTTTGGATGTAACATTTGAAAAGAGCTGCTATACTTGGGCAAGTTGGAAAGTTGCTAAAATTCTTTCTGAAAACCCAAATCTGTGAATACGTTGAATTTCTCCTTGAGACGGGGAACAGTATATATTGTCACAACATCCAACTACTATATATTATAGAGATTATTATATAGATTTCCCCCTTCCCAGAAAGTTTAGGTTTCTCACCCCAGCTTCAGACCAAATGCCAAAACCACTTAACTGCCTTCACCCCTGCCCCAAAAGAGAGCCAAGAGGCATGTTTTGATGAAAAAAATCCAAGCTCCTTCTCAAACATGGCCCCACAATTTAGAAAAATAACTTAATAAAAAAACCCCAACTTCTTTGTTTATAAGTCTCAGCTCTCCCTCTCAGCTTCTAGGGATTGTCTTTTGAAATGTTAATGGAGCTTGGATGGCCCAGAGGGCAACCCTCAACCCTGAGGTCCCAATTGGACCCCAGTGTCCATTTGGGCCCACAGGAGTGGGTTGGGGAAGAAGCAGGGCCCCCCAACCACCTAAGTCAGGGAAGGAAGTGAGTTTCCATCTGGGAACATGCTCTGGAGAAAGCTAGATGTGGAAAGTCTCAGTGCCCATTTGCTTTTATTTGTTTCCAGTTTGTTCCCCCAAATATGAGCCAGAAGTGTTTGTTTTGGTGGTTTTTTTTGTTTTGTTTTTAAGCTGTGTTTGGGTCGTGACTGGGGTGGGGGAGTGAAGTGTTTGCTGAGGGCATTGCTCCAGACTCCCATCTCACTTTGTCCATTGCAGCCTTTTGTTGGGTGATGACATTGTCAGTCAGTCCATGGTGTCTGTTCACACAAGATGCTTTTTAAATAGAATTGACCGATGTTCTGCTGCCACTGATTAAAGTATTATTTATACTAATTGTTGCCTGTAGTTTTGATGTAACTCATTGATCTATATTTGAAATAATAAAAGGTATAGCAAAATTGCCCTCCTGTTTGGTGCCTCCACAGAAGCATTCTTCATTAAGTCTTATGAAAACTAACATTCAATATAAACTTTTAAAATTTTTCCTGCAATGTTCCTAGCATATGAAGGTTAAATTGTGTCAGGTGAAGCAATTCTATCATTATCCCCTCCCCCCATATATACATAGTTCCAATTTGGCCACCAAATTTTATGAGCATTGAAAAGCCTGGGGTTGAACTGAGGTTGCTGGGTGTTGGGCATTAGTTTTTATAAGGAAAATAAATTACTGGGCTTAAAAGAGGCTCCAGGTTGGCTTTCTGTGGGGCCCCAGTCACCCCCAGACTCCTTCAGGTATTTTTTTGTTATGTGATGGGTGAGAGACCTCCTCACCTCCAACTCTAGGAGTGAGTGTCTAGTGCTGGGTTCTGGGCCGACCTGGGACTGGCCAGTAGCTGCTCGGACACGACCCCTCTGGCCTCCAATCTTGGGCTCCTTCTACTTTTGCGGTGCTGCTCAGCCCCACTGGGGTCTCCAGCACCTGCCCCTCCTTCCCCCAGCGTCCCCTCCGCCCTCCAGACGACAATAAACACTCCCCCACTATAAAAAGTGGCGTGCGCTATTTTTATCGCGAGGGCTTTTTCACATCTTGGCTTGCCTTGAAGAAGGGCCAAAACAGGAGTCCCAAAGTAGATGGGGGGGGGGTTGCGCGCGACAGGAAATGAGCAGAATGCGTAAAATCAGACATGTGTACTTAATATATGGAAGGGCTCGACTCAGACGCGTGGACATGTGTATTTATAAGTGCACAGACAGAAGTTTAAATATTCAGACACATTTTATGATTGTCCTCTGCCTGTCTTCTGGCTAATGGCTCCTCCTGTGCCCACCAACACATCAATACGGCTGTATGTATTGAATCACGGGCAGGGATGAGGAGGAAGCGAGTCCATAGCTGAGCCCGCTTGAGTACAGTACAGTAAATCGGGCCCCTCGGCAGGCAGAAGGCGCTTCCCGCCCGCCCGCCATGTTGGGGAGCCCTCCCTGCCCCCCGCGCCGGGCTGGGCGGCCGGGGCTAGCCAGCAACCGGGGGAGGGCCTTTCATAACCCGGAGAATTTTCAAAGTGCGAGGAAGATGATAAGAATAGATTTCTACAAGTCCCGACCACGTGATTGGAGAAATAATTAATTCAGCACGTCCCTTAAGAAACACGGAGTCGTCATTAATCTGCCACGCAAAGGGCTCTCTCCGACTTGGAAAGTGCAGGGATCCCAAGAATATCACCCGTCCAGGGGGGCCGCGCGGCGCCCCCGGCCTCCACCCCCGGCCCCGCCGCGGGCGTGGGAGCGCGGCCGGCAGGTAAATATTTTGGCGACTTTTATTTCTTCAGATTTAAATCCTTAATGAACTTAGCTGTCAGGGCCGCTGACAAATAGTTCCCTTTGCTTCCTGATTTGGAACCGCGGGCCGGCGAGAAGTTGTTAGTGGCTTGGATGGTGACCTTTGGTTCAGCAAAGCTTTGCACTTATGAAAAATTACTGAGAGACCGAGTGTGTGTGTGTGTGTGTGTGTGTGTGTGAGAGAGAGAGAGAGAGAGAGAGAGAGAGAGAGAGATGCGAGGGGACAAGGGGGCGAGGGGGCGAGGGGCGAGGGTGCGCGCGGGCTGCTCGGAGACAACGAATTGTAAAACCCTCCCGGCTGGGGGACGCGCCTGGCGCACGCGGGCCGAGGTTGCCCGGTCGCCTGTGTCTACCGGGAACAATGGTCGCTGTCACGGCATCTGCCGCCTATTCTTAAACCGGTGAGAAAAGGCCCCAGCCCTCCTTTCAAGCGAGGCTCGTAAATTTTTCTTTGCGTCATAATAGAAGGCTATAAAATCGAGTTGAAATTTTACCCCAGGCAGGTTTTAACCAACAGATAATGATTTCCGAGTTGCTTCTCCCACTCCCCTCCCTCTCCATCCTAGCTCTGCAGCTTCTGTCACCCCAGCAAGTAGTTTTCCCTTCTTCCCTTTTATTTCTGTATTTTTAATTTTGCGGGGGGCGGGGGGAAGTTCTAAAATAAAGGTAGAGGGAAAAGGGAGCTTCCGCCGTAGGAGAAGACCTGGGGCGAGCAGAAGCCTGGAGGAAGGTATACGCGGG